GGTGTTTAGCTGTATTTGGTCTGACACGTAGGGAAACGAGAGAGGAGAGCAGGTCCACGCGTCTCGAGGGGAATGGGCACAGAAGCGTGCGTAGAAACTATATAAACGATGCTGCCCCTCCACACTTAGGTCTGGAACATCCTCTGATCAAAGCTCACCTACCACTTTGTCTCCTCTCTTCTATCTCTCTCTTTCTCTCTCTAAGTGTGCTAACTTGACCGTCGGAGGAGTTTTCTGGCAGCACACCGCTAGGTAGCTCACCGTTGTTGTGTTCTAAGGTTAATTGAAGGGAAGCGCAGCTTGGACACGAGGAGTATGGATAGCGTCGGATATTTGGCCCCCGCACAATTGGCATTGTCTGTGAGAAATCCTTTGATAGACAAAACCTAGTCCTCCAAGCTCATCTGATCATCTTTCATGGCAAACAACGATGAAACTTCGCTGTCTGTCGTTGACGGCATCACCCCAGAGTCGGTCCGGAAGAGAGACAGATCCCTGCCGTCCCAACCATGGCGGGCCAGGAGACTTCATCTAGAGAGCTCCCCAGAGGTGCGCAAGATAAGCGCGCTAGGAGCACCGATCACTCTTAGAGTCTAGATGGACATCGGCGACGGAGAGAGTCACACGCTCAACGCCTAGAGCACAAGCTGAGGGACCAAGACACCATCATTCGGAGGATGGCAACGGAGATGAAGGCGTTGAAGTAACAAGTCAAAGGAAAATGTATAGCTAGAGTGGGAAACCACAGTGAGCGCACCCAACCTCGTCGCTCAGGCAACCAGAACCAGTGAAGGACACCTTTCCTTTCAATCACTAGGAGTTATTGGGTTGGAGACTCCAACCCATAGGCAGAGAAGTCATGCGCGTGAGATAGCAGTTATCGTCCCTCATGTCTGTCAACGACATCGAGATACTTTTACTCTGTTCGTTTGGAGGACCAATGGGATGTCTTGGAAGAATGAGTGTGCTGGCGGGAGGCTCAGAGGGTGCTGGCGCTATAGCGACTATCCTGCGGAGGTCGCCCCAGTGAAGAGGTCGTAATGCCGCCGCCACGACCAATCACATATCTCCCTTTAGACAGAGACTTGGTGAGGTTGAGCACAACACCCTTCTCCCTCGAGCTAGAGACCACACCGCTCCCTGCGGGCTTTCACCATCCCAAGTTTACGCTTTACAACGAAAAAATTGATCCATACATGCACATGAGCCATTTCTGGCAGGTTATGGCTAGATACAGGCATAGAGATGGATTTGTTTCCTATCCACCGTAATGGAACTGGCAAATTCGTGGGCCCACTGCATATTTTATTAGGCAAACTTTACTTTACCTGTCATTTAAATTGGGTACGGATTACTTTTTGACATTTAAAAATTATCACATAATCTTTACGTGATTTGTGAATTAAAACGCATGTTACCTTCTATTAACAAAACATGTAAATTGACCATTATACTCTCATCTTCTTGGACTTCTCTCTTTGAATTAAACCAGCAAATATATATCAACTATATATGTATATCTATATACATTAGGTCTCTATAAATGACTTAAAGGAAATCATAACTTTCCTTTCTTTCTTCATCAATACCAAATAGTCTGAAATCAATTATAAAACGACAATGCTACGTAGCTCAAATTTTGTGGCTCAAAAGTGGCTCAAATGGCCAAAACGACGTCGTTTTGAGTACAGAACAACATAAAAATGGCAAAAACGATGTCGTTTTGGCCATTTGAAC